GACAGGTCTGCAGGGGATGCTCACTCCTCCATGTTATTTGATCCCACCTCTGATGCCTTAGAGGTTCGTGTTTGCTCTGCTCCTATTTCGTAATGTTTAATGGACTTTTGAGCTCGAATACTGTTCGTTATCTCCATATATTCCATATGTTCGTTAATAATGCAGAAATATGTGCTAAGTCTTATGCTTAGTATACAAAAAAGATCTTTATACTCAAGGAAAGAAATACGGTTATTAAGCATATAGATAGAGGATATTCAATGTTTTGTACTTGGATTTTTTTTTATTTTTTCACGAGTGCGAAGAACGAGTGAAAATATAAAAAAAAATTTCCTGTCTCACGAGTGAAATAAATTCCATATCCAACTACATAATATTGAATTTTCTTTTTATTACATTTTCTTTGATTTTCCCTTTGCCTCTGTCTTTTCTTAAAACAGTGCCATAGGCTGTGATATTATAGTTGAGCGGTTGAAACCTTAGCAATTATGAGATTGAAAACATTGTAACATGGATTTTAGCAAATTGATTTTTATTTATAAAGAACATTTAGCGACATATTTTGGGAAGAAATGGGCATTTTAGTCTCAATAAAACGGTTTAGTTACTATCCCTACCTTATGACAGGTCAGAATTTATTTTTTTAATTACTTTGATATCCTTTCATATTGTGAGAGAATATCACTTTTATTCAATGAATAAATCACAGTATTTCACTGTTGAAATTGTAATAGAACAGCATATTTATTTCTTAATGAACATTTCTTATATAAATATTACAATGCTTCAATCATCATCTACCTTGCCATAATTAAAAAAAACTTACAAGCTGGACTTTGGTGTCAAAAACAGACATAAGCCAATAAGCAAATAAATATATTTGAGTGAAATTAGACGATAATTCTATTTTTAAACATTAATGGTATTTTAATTTTAGTTAAGGTTTAGTTTAGTCAAATTTCTGTGAAATTTATATATGCTTTGATATAAACTATATCCTGATTGATTTTTATATGTTCTGTGCTGTATGTTTAGTTCAGATGTTATTAAACATTCTGCACAATTATAAATGTATAAAGATGTCTTGTACATTACATAAATCATTGAGGAGGAAATTATCAATTACAAACTGCAGATGAGATCTTTGTTTTTCATTTGAGAACATCAAATGTAAATCAATCTAGTTTGATATCAAACCCGATAAAAAATACACCGTCAAAAAAAGACTACCAAGCCTAAATCTATACCAAGCCCTAACAAAATAGAAGTAAAGAAGAAACTTAAGACATACTTTGATACGGCATAAAAGAAGTGTCAATGAAATGTGGATTCTTAAAAAAAAATCAAAGAACCTTTAGAAAATTTTAAATTGCATCTTTAAGAAAAAATAGTAACATCAGGAAGTATGACTTTTCAATACTTTATAACTCCCCCCAGGCTTTATAAAGGACTAGGTTTTTTGGCATCACACACAACTACTTTTTTTCAATTAACATGGAACACGAAAATTTTCACATATCTTATGATTGGTCGTGTGGTTCTACACACATAACTTAAAATTGAGTCTAAAAATGCTGGAGTGCCTCATGGACAATATTTGTGTAATGATTAATTCATAAGGTCATTCTGTCTGAGAGGCAAACATTAGAAATAATATATCTTTTAAAAATGTTCATTACCCTCATTCCCTCTGTATTAAATGATTTGTTCTACTTGACTTATTTTTTAACATAATTTGCTTTTTGTTTTCTAACATCGATATCATCAACTAGTGAATGTCACTATTTCCTTCAGTTTACTTTAGACACAAATAATTAATGTAATACTGCCCTTGCAAATTCCCTCAGTCTCTTTTTTTATTACATTTTTTTAAGCTAAAAAAAATCAACATATGATCAACACTTTCTTTTTATCCAGTAAAACAGATTTTTTTATCCTGTTTTTATTAATAATTTCTCATAGGGAATAAACTTGTAATATCTTGAAAACATCCTTTCTAGCAACTAATGCAATTTATCTTGTCTCATGACATTCAGATGCAATATTTCAAGGTGATTAACTGTCACAAACAAATGAAATAAATCCTATTATACTTTGACACAAAATTGAATAAAATTTTAGGCATTTTAGTCATGATTCGTCATATTCATATGCAAGCATCCTTAATTTAATTGTATAGATTCCAGATTGTTAAAATTGTAGAATTGGGACCACAGTGATTGATCAAAGTTAACATGAGACTTAATAGGAGCAATCTTAAAAAAATCTTCTCATGAACAAATAGGCCTGATAAGTCCTATAAAGACGGTAAAAACATTATTTAATGTTCGGAAGCAATTATGTCCAATTTTATGAAAAAACTGTAAGCAGGTAACACAATCACAAGTACTATAAATCTCAATATATTTTTCCGATCAATTCAACATGTCCAGTGTAGGGAGCACCACTTGTTATAATAAAGTACAAATAAAGTACAAGTCCACATGTGGACCCTGGTAAGATGTGAAAAAATGAAGATTCAAATTAAGCATAATTTTTCATCTCACATCACCAATCGATATCTAAACCATAAGATTCAACAAATTTTAACGCTGAACTTCATGTATATACAAAGAGCAAAGCAAACAAAATGGTAAGGGTGGTACGGGTTAGTCGACATTCGTGATTTTATATTTGAGGACATGCATTCATTTTAAATCCTTTGTTTACTGTCAGCCTAACATTGTGCAAACTTTTGCCAAAGACAAAAGATGCATAATGCATTTAGAACAATTGTGTGAAATTAGGAAATTTGCACAACATTAGGCTTGTAGTAAAAATATTTTTAAAATGTATGAAAAGTTTGATGTGTTTCCTATAGCAAACGAGAGATCTTTACCTATGAGACCTATATTGAACCCACGTGTGGAATAAATTATTTTAAATAGTCACGTGAGTTCTACCCAAGTAAACATTCCTCAAAGTTGCTCATTGTAAACACAGCCACGTTTTATATCGTTCGGCAAAGCCGCCGCTTTAGAGATGATTATATGCATTTACTTTTATGAAAGAACGGGGGGATTAAGAGAGATTTATAGTGTCAATATACATAAAAATATCAAACATTTCTAACATTCATAAGATACAAAAAAAATTGTAGAGTTATAACTGAATACAATAAATTACATGCATGTGCATATATTTGATATCAATTTAACTCATTAAAACTTCAAAGCTTGTTTCCAGTGGGGTTCTTAAAAATACAAATAAAAAAAATAAATAATGAAATATGTGGAGAAAACGAACAGTATTCGAGCTCAAAAGTCCATTTAACATTACAAAATAGGAGCAGGGCAAACACGGACCTCTTAGACATCAGACGTGGGATCAAGTGCCATGGAGGAGTGAGCATCCCCTGCCGACCAGTCACACCCGCCGCGTGCTCTTTGTCATGATCGGGAAATAACGGAAAAATCCGTCGACAATTCAGTGTGTAAATAATGGCCTAACAATTACTATGAAAAACGTCAGTCAGCATTTGACTTAATGATAGATTGTATTTGCTGACAAGGTCATTGTATCGACCATAGAACTTACGAAATGATGACTTTAAACGAGACTGTTGATATCCTTGTTTCATCAACTTGTTTGTCAATAACTTACCTTGTTTTAGAAATTGTTCGTACGTAGAGCATGCTCTTGCATCAACTGACTCTCGAATCAACTGATGAGAGATATAAGCCCCGTATGCAGCTGATAAGGGTATATTGCTGCACAGGTAAGGGAAGTTGAGGATTGAAAAGTTAAAGTCATCACGTTTATCATAAAGCCTTGTTGTTAGATTACCATTAACGTATATTTCTAATAAAATATCCAAATTTGAAACAGTTGTATCAGACTCTGTGGTATCTTTTATCTCAAGCACACAGGGATATATCGTGTAGACATAAGAATGGAAATAGCCATTGTTAATTGACAATACGTCGTCGATATATCTAAATGTCGAGTTGAAGGCCAAAGCAAGTGTTTTCTCATAAAAGATTTTGAACAAATTCTGCTTCATATAAATACAAAAATAGGTCTGCTAATAACGGGGTGCAATTGGTACCCATGGGAATTCCAATAGATTGTTAGAAGACCTGATCTCCAAAAACCACATAGATATTGTCAATCAGAAACTCGAGTATCTTTTTAATGTCAACTTCAAAGTACTTATGTGTACAATCCCATTGTTTTTAACAAAGTAATTTTGCAATTGACCAATGACAAGGTAAGTAAAATTGCGAGTTCCATTTTTATTGAAAAAGCAGCTGTCAACGATGTCAGAAAGTCTGGACTTAAATTTATCGTGGGGAATAGTTGTATATATAGTTGAAAAGTCGTACGTTTTTATGTTGTTTATTTTGGTAAATTTTTTTTATTTCAAATGTTCCAAAAGTTCCTAGGAATTTTTTAGTATCCACATCTGATTTACACTACTTCTCGAATATATTGTTGCACAGTACTCTTGAAGTTTCTCCATCACTACTGATAGTATATTATCTTAATCCACAATTATTTCAAGTTAATTATTACAACACTAAATGAAAATGATTTGCACAAACATTTTGACATTAATCGATCTAAAAAAAAAAAAAAAAAAAAAAACACAAACAATACAAATATGTGAACAGACCGCTGGGAATTCCAAGGGTGGGATCAGCTGCCTGGGGGGGGGGGGGGAGAAAACATCCCTTGTCGACTGGTCACACCCGCCATGAGCCTTATGCAATTATCAGGTAGACGGAATATTACGTAGTCACTTAGTATAAAAACAAAGGCCTAACAATATTGACTGAGGCGAATAATAAGCCATATTCACCATCGAAAGAGTCCATAACTGTTTTATTATATAGTCCGGATTTAAATTGATAAGACATTGAAGGTTGCATGAAGACACTTTATTCATTAACGAATTTCTATAAGTCATAAGTCTCAATGTCTTATTCGTTAAATTCAGACTATGTAATAGAACAATTATTGACTCTTTTGGTGGTGGACATGGTTTTTATTTACCAGAAAATATCAATATTGATATTGAATTGAAATAAAGTGCAAGATATTTGAATGATATTAAATGCACTTAAAATATTCTTCAAATTATATTATATTTTCATCGCTATTTTTGTTATAATTATATATTTTAAAAAGTAAAATTCCTGGTAAAATGACCTATCTTCTGTTGTCTTTTCCTGTTTTTACCCAGCTCAACTTTGTGTTTTCGGCATTTATTATGTACCCAACTGTTTGTCACTCAGTTTTACTGTTGAATTCATGCAATTACGTGACGGTGTGATCCGACGTTCCGGATCACCACACTGTGGTTTTCTAAATCCATATCACCCATCTCTGAAACTGATTACGTAGTACACAGATAAATGACGTTTTTATTCTCGGGCATCAAAAAGTTCCTTGACAAAATAGTTTGTTTAATGGATAAAAGTAATGAAATTGATCCAAAAAGTTTCCTTTCATTATATTTTGCTAGTTGCAAAGGGCTATATAATAAATTTATCATTATAACAGTTACTTGATCCGAAGAGTCGTATCACGTCTCGTTGACAGACGCGGATCATCAGATCAAACTCGCGTCTCGTTTGATCTGATGATCTGCGCCTGTCAACTTGGCGTGATACGGCTCTTCGGATCAAGATACTATTATAATAATATATATATAGAACAATGCAAAACAGTAGAGTCAATAGTACATTCAAGATCCATATAAAATAAGCTGAATTTGAATAAATGGAGATAACGAACAGTATTCAAGCTCAAAAGTCCATTAAACAATACAAAATAGGAGCAGAGCAAACACGGACCTCTAAACATCAGAGGTGGGATCAGGTGCCATGGAGGAGTGAGCATCCCCTGCCGACCGGTCACACCCGCCGTGTGCTCTTTGTCATGATCGGGAAATAACGGAAAAATCCGTCGACAATTCAGTGTGTAAATAATGGCCTAACAATTAGCATGAAAAACGTCAGTCAGCATTTGACTCAATGATAAATTGTATTTGCTGACAAGGTCATTGTATCGACCATAGAACTTACGAAATGATGACTTTAAACGAGACAGCTGATATTCTTGTTTCATCAACTTGTTTTAGAAATTGTTCATACGTAGAGCATGCTCTTGCGTATCGAATCAACTGAGAGATATATACCCCGTATGCCGGTGATGAAGGTATATTGCTGCATAAGTAAGGGAAGTTGACGATAGAAAAGTTAAAGTCATCACGTTTATCATAAAGCTTGGTTGTTAGATTACCATTAACGTCTTTTTCAAGTAAAATATCCAAATATGAAACAGATGTGTCAGACTCTGTGGTATCTTTTATCTCAAGCTCACCAGGATATATCGTGTAGACATAAGAATGGAATTAGCCATTGTTAATTGACAATACATTGTCGATATATCTAAATGTCGAGTTGAAGGCCACAGCAAGTGTTTTCTTCTTTTCACGTACATGATTTTGGACAAATTCTGCTTCATATGAATACAAAAAAGGTCTGCTAATAACGGGGTGCAATTGGTACCCATGGGAATTCCAATAGATTGTTGGAAGACCTGGTCTCCAAAAACAACATAGATATTGCCAATCAGAAACTCAAGCATCTCTTTAATGTCAACTTCAGAGTACTTGTGTGTACAATCAGAATGTTTTTTAACAAAATAATTTTGCAAACGACCAATGACAAGGTAAGTATATTTACGAGTTCCATTTTTATTGAAAAAGCAGCTGTCAATTATATCAAAAAGCCTGAACTTTAATTTATCGTGGGGAATGGTTGTGTATAAAGTAGAAAAGTCATACGTTTTTAAGCTTTTGATTTTGGTAAAATCTTGCGATTTCAAATTGTTCAAAAGTTCCTTGGAATTTTTAAGTATCCACATCTGATTTACACCACTTCTCGAATATATTGTTGCACAGTACTCTTGAAGTTTCTCCTTCACCACTTTTAATATCTTAGTGAGGAGTAAAAAAGAGGCTTGGTTGAACATTTACTTGAACCCGCTATGTATCTTTGTTTGTAAGGAATTTTATGAAGTTTCGGAATCCAATATAAATATGGTAATTCAAATTCATTTTGGTTGTTTGGAATATTCAAAATATTCAAAACAGACATATGACTTTGAAGAATTTCTTCCTTAGAAAGGGAACTACGAGTATAAGTTGGATTACCACTTGTAGAATTAAATCCAAGTTCCTCTAAAATAAATTTAATATAATGAGACTTACAAACAAAGACAATGTTGTTACCTGCTTTGTCAGCAGGGACCAGTACGTACTGATCATGTAATCTATCTAATTCTTTTTTCACTTCTGGATTATTGAATACAGAAGGATAGATGGTTCTCATATTGCCCCTCAATCTTTTAATGCGTGATTTTAACATACATCTGATACATTTAATCCATTCTGACAAAGTGTCAAGGTCTTCTTTTTCATGTCTGGCCCATCGCCTGGCGTAGTCCTCTACAGAATCCATAATATTTATGAAATTCCGACGCCATTTGAAGGATCGGGGTTCCCTAAATTTAGGACCTTTTAAAATTAGTGATCTAAGGTCCTCATTATTAACTATATTAACGTCACCAGTAATAACGTGTCCAGCAGGACTATAGTTATAGGGCGAAGAAGAACATGAACACGATGGAGGATTATGTTTCAGATATTCGATATCCAGGCCCTGTAAAGTTTTCTTGTAATTAAAAAGTTTGGAAGCAATAGTCGATGTATATTTGTAGGAAATACAAGGTGTAGTCTTTAACTTGAAATATGGTGGAATACAAGACTGGACTCTTTTGTGATTAAGAATATTACTTATATTAACCGCGTCAATTCCTTTGTTGGCATATTGAAGTTTAAGGGAAAAACGGATTGTTTTAGCTGCATTTTCTTCAGTAAAATCTTCGGTATAAAAAGCCTATGATTTGCAATATCCATAATCACAGATCCGAACCTATATTCTGGTGTCGAGGAATCAAAAAATGGACTTTCCTTGACCTTTTCAAGAAGACTACTTAAAAGTTTCAAAGGGACAGAGTAAAGTTTGGTGCGAATATGATGTAGACCTAACTGTTGATTTACGTAAGGTAGTAATGAATCAAAAGAGACATCGTGTATTAAAGGTTTATTGTAAGACCGATGCCCATGACTACGCTTACGTCTCTGTGTATGGTTAAAAAGTCCCATCACATTTACATTGCTACACTGTGGACTGGAAAGATTTCCAACACTATCGACATTGTCATTACATCCATAGGGAAAGGCTGTCCCTAGCTTTCTAATCCAAAATTCTTCTCGTTGTCTACTCAATGATGGACTGTTTGTGTGGTGGTAAATCTTTTCTAGAATTCTAACTTTCATGGACAAAATTGAATGATCAGGTAAATTAAAATGTTTGTATAAAAGTTGCTGACCCCCGTTATTTATCTGAAATCTATGACCTGATGTTCTTTTATTGAGTGATCCCTTAGTTTCACCAACATAAACAAGTCCACAAAGATAACATTCTATTCCGTAGACAACATTAGAAGATTTGCAGTTCAGATTTTCCCAAGTTTTGGTACAGAAGCTCTGTCCAGTAAGATTACTGGTGAAAGAAGTGTTAGTTATCAAAATGTCACAGGTTTTACAGTTTTTCGCAGAACATTTTGAAATAGAAGACATGGGATCGGAAAAGGAGTCTTCGAATATATCTCTAATAGAAACTTTACATTCTTTCAATTTTTTGTATGAACTATTGGTTTTATACCAAAACTGGGAATCTGAAGACTGTACATAAGACGTATGTTTAATATCCCTGAGGATAATCCAAGGGGCACCGAATGAATTCCTCGAGTCAGTGTCCCTTATAGACTCAAAAGAGTGACGCCTTTTTATACTGGGCGACGCGTCTGCCAGTATCATTTCGTTATTCTGTGTACTCATGAATGAATAGGTACCGAACGACAAGTATCCTCGGGGACAGACTGTCCACCAGCAGAGATACATGTTACATTTAGAGCAGGCGCTGCATGGAAGTTAGAACTCGAATGACCATTTTCTACTTATTATGTCATTGTATTTAACACCAAATTATGGATTTAAAAGCGAAAATACTTGTAATTTTGTTTACATTAGCAGCTTGTAAAGACTGCTTATTTTTTCCAGTTATAAGAGAGTACTTATCAGGAGCGATGGATCTGACTGCCAGTATTTGACTTTATTTACATAGTTGATCACTGTAAGTGGAAATTACAAGACATTTTTAATTTAAGGGTTCTTTTTTGAAAGACATTAAAAGAGAAAGTAGTTAACAGTTTCCCGTTACTAGGAGTTTAAAAACTATGGTGGCATATTTCTGCCCCCTATATGCAAGATAAAGTATGATAACATGCAACATAATTATGTGAACATGCGACTTATTTATGTCAACATGCAAATAATTATGTTGACATGCAAGTCATTATTCTCTTTAGAGAATATAATTTTAATGTTGGTATAGGTAAACTTACTTTCTAACGCCATTATATGACATCATACTCGCAAGATGTAACATAATGATGTTGACTTACGACTTATTTATGTTAACATGCAAGATAATTATGTAGACATGCAACTTATTTATGTCAACATGCAAGATAATTATGTTAACATGCGAGTAAATTATGACAACATACGAGATATCGACGCTGTGGAATTGAAAGGTCGTATGTGGAATTTTCGTACTTTACAGGAGGCGATAAAAACTGTTTTTCAAAGAATATATAAAATGACTGTGGACATAAAGTTGAAGGGTGTTTTATTTTTGTTTTTAGGGTATCAGAAAACATATTTTTAATCCAATTAACACATGAAAATTATTAATACAAGCAGATTTTTTGCAGATACGACCTTTCAGTAATTATTATATCAGATATGAATTGTCGTAACTGCCACTTACGACGTTATAGCTGAAAGATTACGCAATAAAACAACTAGTTTTAGGTCGTAAGTGGCACTTCCG